AGCAACGCGTCCGCAGGAGGCGCGCGGATCACCTTCGACTCGGAGCCGTCGGGGTTCACGACGACCACTTTGGTGGCCACACCTCCGAGCAGCACGCGTAGGTATCGGAAACAGGCGCACTAAAGTCTGGCAGCCTGGGGGTCAGCGAGTACCAACGCAGCGGGCCCCGAGACCGCCGCACCTACGACGCCACTGCTGAAGGCTTTCTCTTGTTGGAGCGCCACGAGGAACACTGGGGCCAGAAGCGCCTCGTACGAGCTCGCCCTCAAACGACAGCAACCCCATGGAGAACAGCGCGCCCCGGAACGGACATACAGGAAGAACAATGCAAGGAATGGCATGTTCAGGCGTAAGGCCCGAGCTCGAGGTCGGGAATATCATGTCGACTCGCAAGGTCCACCCCGCGCCCGCAAAGTGTGGGGCAACTTTTTTTGGGGGTGCCAGCACTTTGGAAATGCCGCGCCCCCGAAGTGCGCCACCATGTAGACGGCCTAAGCCGATGATGATTATACGTGCTTTCGCCGGATCAGAGACAACAGGAGTTCTGTTCAAGTCATCTGCAAAGACGAGCAACCTCAAGCCGCACTTCGTGCCAGTAACCGCACGCGCGCGCACCACGCGGTCGGCGCGGCAGTTGCGGTACCCCCCCTGCCCCTCGCAAACAGATGGAACGACCGCATCCTGAAACGCGGCGGCAGCACTTGCACCCCCATGTAGCTCCCCTCGGAGTTCATGGAAATCTCATTGCCACCATTGGCCGTGGCCCGAAAACGAGCCCGACGATGCCTTTGCTCAAGGACGTGCGCGCAAGACCCGTCGGGCAACCAATCGACAGCAACATCAAGCGAAGCGTGCTTCACCGACTCGAAGGCATTTCTCACGTCATGTTTCGTGCCCGCGGTAGAACGCCCCCCTCCCCCCCGAGGCTCGCCGCGGTAAGGCCGCCGTCGTTCGTGCCGCGCCCGCGCGGGATCGTCTCGAAAGATGCCCATCTTGCCGATTGAACGTCGACCGCGTCGTAGTCTAATAATGAGTCCTGGCGATATCGCTATCTTCAGAAAGCTGGCATGCAAAATACACATTGCAATAAACTACTAGCCGCTCATGCTACTTGAATCAAGAAGCTAGCAACCAGCCTTCAAAATAGTGGTCCTACGCCCTCGAGCGCTGGAACGCCTAGACAAGCCTCGCGCACTGGTGTGTCAGGCCGGCGAGAGAGGAGAAGGGGCCATACCTCGTTCGGGGCACACCATGGCGCAGCCGCGCGACGCCGCCGAGCAGTCCGAAACCACTTGACGGTCCTCTCGAGGTCTGCCCCCCCAAACAGAACGTCATGGTTGTTCGGTAAATCAGTCGAGCCGACTGTCGCAGCACTCTGGATCAACTCCGTCTCGTCGGCTGGCGTCGAACTCACTCTTCATTCACTCGGTGGCATCGCCAGGTCCTCCCCCCACTCACCCGCGCTGGGGGCGCCAGCCGAGATGCGGCCATGATTCCCCCCCATTGGGCCCGCCCCCCCCCCGCCATCGATCCACAGATGCGCCACTCTTCGGGCGCGGGCCCCCTGGACTGTACCCCGGCGAGTTCCCCTGAAAGCTGTGCGTCTCTCATCTCCCCGAAACGCCTCCTCATCGCGCGGCATCCACGCGCGGCGCGCGCCAGGCTCATGGCACTTTCCGACGGGCCATCGCAATGTTCACGCGCGCGCTCACGCTCGCGTAGGAGCCGGACCCGCTCTTCAACAAGTTGATGGTACGCCGCTGGCATCGCGGCCGGCGTGGTTTCGAAACGAGCGCACCCATGGGTCTGGATGAGATTCACGAGCTCCTGCCATGCGTCCCCAGGAGTCTCAGACTGCGCGATCTCCTCGATCGTCGAAAAACTTCGATGCTACAACAGCTCCACGATCGCCCCCTCCACCGCATCGCGAAAGGGCTGGGCATGATGTTCACTGCGCAGGGCGAGCCCAAGGCCAGCCAAGTCCCAGCGCTTCCGACGGGGCCCAGGACGATGACGCGGCCTCAAGACAATCTGCAGCACGAGTGGGATATGATCACGTGGACGTGAATCGGGAATAATTCGAAGTCCCCGTGACACCATCATGCCCTGTGAATATATATATATATATACAAGACTGCATTGGCGCTTCGCGCCATGCACCTTGGCCCATAAAGTTCGGCATGCAGGCGAGATGGTAGGAAGGTCAAGCCGGCAATTGAGCGATAACTCCTTGTTGCCTTTTCCGGCATCGTCGATATCATAATATTAATCGCTATCCTTCCTCAATGCTTCTGTTTCTTCATTCTCGCCATACCCTGCACATTCTCCCCATCCTCCTCAGTTCTTTTTTTGCGGAGGCTCCTCCTTGGAGAGCCTCTGGGCCTCCTGGTTTCTCATGCTTTCTCAAGGCCTTTTGGAGGCCTCTTGGGCGTGTTCTGGGGTCCTCTGGGGGCTTCCTCGGGCCACCCTGCCTCCAACCGCGGTCTCCCTGAATGACTGGGTCACGATTTGGAATGCTTCAGAGCGTGTCTTCGGGCCATCTTGGGCCGCCATGGGGCACTCTTAGGGCCATCTTGGACCCCTGTTGTGCCGTTTTGGGGCTGTCTTGGACTGCCTGGAAGCCCTTTCGGATAGTTGTGGGGCGACTTTGCAGCCTCCCAGGCGGCTTCGAACGCCCAGAAGACCGCCGTCTTGGAGCGTCGGGAAGCCGAAAAAAGGATAACCCCAAAATTCACCATAAACCTATGGAACATCACAGATTTTTGCCTCTTCGGTCCTTCTTGGGAGTGCTCTTGGAGGCCTCTTGGGACGTTTCGGAGCGATCTTTGGGGGTATGACAGCTTCGTGGGCGTCGTTGTGGACCGTATTGGGGCTTTCTGGGGTCGTTTCGGGAGCGCGCTGGAACGCCTGGAACCCGTCTGGGGCCGTCTTCGGGTGCTGGGAAGGCTTGGCGAAACGCCCTGCGAGGCCTGGGGGGCCGCTTCGAGGCCCGTCCGGAGGGTCCCAGAGCCCCAGATCCCGGGAGTCCGGTTTTTTTTTTGGGGGGGTGATGGGCCGGGCTTTCCCCCCGCCCAGGCTTATAAAAATGTAGGAAGAGGAATCTATATCTATATATATATATATATGTATATCTATATATATTGGACGCGTGCTTGGACTTGCTTGGTATTTTTCTGTCGCGCGTCGGCACAGGTAGCACGATCCTATCCCCAACTGGCACCGCCCCGAAGTAACTGGGTCCACACTGATGCGAGGTATTGGCCGCCACGGGGTCATGCGTCCCAGCAAACTCACGCATCCGGCCACCAGGTCGATGTTCCACCCCGCGCCCATGAGGCCCCACAGCTGTCGAGGAGAGCGTGATCAACCCTGGGTCCATGACAAAGGCCACTCCCATCGTTCACGTCCGAAACCACCACTGGGAGCGTCCAAGCTTGACAAAATAACCATCACATGATGACCAAAATCATGAACCTCGTCGATAGTGGTCTGTAGTCGTTGCTGCTCACGAGGGCCCCTGCCCTCACTGCATTCTCGTTGACCACGAATGTCATCCCGCAAGACACCTGTAGAAACACATTCCGGGTCGGGCAAGTTTTCCGCAACGTAGAATGAAATATGTGCACATCCTTGTGTACCAATGCTTATAACAATGTCGACAGAACGTCAACATTGGCAAATTCATAATGCACCTCCAACGCCCGATCTCAGTCCGCCAGTGAAGGTGGATTCCAGCATGCAGCTCTCGACGCCCACAAACAAAGCAGAAGCAAACGGCACTCAGGTATATGACTCATGAACATAGAAGCAGCCGTCTCCCGCACACGATATCGAACGAACGCACTCGAATAGAGACAATAAGTCAAATCAAATCACTCTTAACTTCGTAGCGAAATAGTGTCAGAACTGTGCGGCCGCGGGGGAGGGCCGGCAACGTCCTTGCTAAAACGCCCGGGGAGTTCGACAAGAGAGCGGCGAGCTCCAAGGCTGAAGCCGAGCAGCGCGCCGCAAAACTTGTTTTCGAATTGCCTCCCGCCTGAGCGCGGCCGCGACCCGATCGAAGCACGCGGGGTTGCCCCAACGGTTTGCTTTCGCGCGACAGCGGCCCGCGGGTTTATCCCAACGGCGTGGCGCGCAGGCTTGGCCCAACGGCTTCGCGATCTGGAAGCCATCGGAGAACGCGTCCCTGCCGACCGAAGCGGCGACGGCGCCAGGGAAAATCGAAGCGCGCGCCTTTGCGATAGGAATGGGGGAGGCGGCGGAGGGGGAGGAGAAGCAGAAGGGCGAGAAGGAGGCACAGAAGGGGGTGGGAAGAGGGCCTGTGCAAGGGGGAGAATGAGAATGGCGCAGAGGATACAGGAAGAGAGTCTCCGCAATCACAAGGAAGACAATGAGGACTACTTCTACACTAGTTAACCGAAAAGATTATCACGCGGAGTTCTACAACCGGAATGATATAAGATCCGGCGATAACCAGGGTTATCCGGCCCGCCCGCCCAACCCCTTTGGAAAACCTGACCTTGTCGGTTGCGCAGGTTCGAAGGGGGTGCTTGGGGCTGCACAAAGCGAAGAGGTTCGGTAATCGGCCAACACATCCACCTCCTGCACCCCACCCCACCGGATAACCCGGGCTAGCGCCGGAACAACATCTGCTTGCTGGAGGTCCCAGAACCATCCTCGAAACTGAAAGAGGTCGGGAAAGGCTCGAAATGACGCCTGGGGACCGCGACGTGGATTTCGTGTCACGCCGAAGCGTGGTGGGCCACAACAGGCGGAGTGATACGCTGACCAAAAGTTCCCGACCGTATTGATTTGGCCTCAACGTAACCTTGGCCTTTACGGTTTTGGGGGCGCCGACGCGGCGCAAGAAAAAATGGCAGCACATTCGCGGAGGGATGCAGGCTCAGGTCAGAAGCCAGGCGTCGCGAAACAGCCTGCGGATCCCATTCCCCGAGGACCACTCTGGCCCATGCTGACTCCCACCCTCCCTTGGCGGCAACCAGGGTGCGGCGCAGGTGCGCCAGCTTCTCCCAGGCGGGGTGGAAGTCCTGGCGATCCAGCAAAGGCTCCTCGTGCAGGAGCAGGTCGTAGCGGTTGGGATGCGCCTTCGGTGCAAGCGTCCTCCTCCATACATACCAAATCCTGATGTTGCATCCTCCTCTTTTCATCCCTTCGTCCACTAAGCGCTGTTTGACGAAAGTGATGGCCTCACCATCGAGGACCGCATCTCGCCGCAGCAGAGCTGCGACGCGGCGCGTAACAGAGGAGAACATGACGGCCACCGAGTCGCCTTGATGCACGAGCACGTACGCAGAATTCAAAACACAGCCGTCCAGTGATAAGGAGGCAGGGGAGGCAAAGCGAGAGGAGTCGCGCCAGGAAATGCCAGAGGCCCGCCTGAGGAAAAAAGTGGGAATCCCCCGTACCAAGTCCGCGCTAACGGCATGTTGGTTAACGGCGATGTTGGGAATTTAGTTGTTGTGACACCGAGTTCACGCAAAACAAACGGTAGGAAATTACGGAACACCGTTTCCTACATTTCAGATGTGCGAATTTATCGAACGAAACGACACAGCGTGTTCTGGGGAAACACGAACCACGCGTTCCTACAATTGGTTTGGCCACGAACCACGCCCTCCTACAACTGATTATCCTACTTCGCCGTTCGCTACCACACCGTTAGCGCGTCTACGGCCACATCCTACAGTCAACCCCCACAGTCAGAGTGCAGGGCAAGGATGCAGGCGCGTTGGCGTCCATTTTGAAACAACCCCAGCGGCACACGACTACCAACAACAACAAAAGCATGGCAGGCCTGCACGAGGGCCCGGGCCCAGGAGCGCTCCGATGCGTGCAGGGATGGTTCCTGCACGGTCCAGGGAGGCCGAGGAGGAGGCCGAGGAGGAGGAGGATGAGGAGGAGGATTTGGAGACTCCCAAACGCCCCATCAGTGCACCCAGCGGCGGCCCCCAAGGAGGCCCCGAGAGGCCAAATCATGGACTTCCCGATCGAGCGTTGAAGGATTGCATCGTTCCCACAATTTCGGCCTTTCCGCGCTCCAAGGCGGAGGCTGCGTGGTCACGGTGCAAGGCCCTCCTGAGTGAGAGATGCTTCTGAGTGTGAGACCTTGCCACACAAAAAAAACATGGACCAATAATGGAACGCAGACGGAGGGATGCACAGGTACCCCGGGACAGATCTCCAACCAGCACGCCGCGAGAGCATGGCTGAAAGAAGGAGGAGAGGAGAAGGGCAGAGGGGTTGTCCTCGCAGTCTACGCCCGCATGTGTAGCCTGCAGAACTCCGTCTCCGCAAGGTGCCAGAATGTCTAACATGTACAACTCTGCCCCTCTCCCTGTCACCCTCCCTGGACGCCAGCAATTTCGCGGGCGGGAACATTTCAAGATCACCCAATCTGAACCCGAGGGAGGCCTGAGGAGCGACCCTAGAAGGGACGAAGATACCTCCCAGAGAGCCCCAGATCAACTCCTCAATGACACGCGACGGCAACGAACCAGCTCCAACCAGCCACAACCGCACCCCGAACGGGATCCCCACGACTCCCCATGCGTCGCCTCAGTAAAACAATCGGCACTCGGCAGAGCCGCAGTGGCGACGAAACCGCATGCAAACGCCCACGATGAGAAACTCTTGGCCAGCGGAATGAGCGCAACGAGTACTCCGAGTTTCATAATAAGCGTCGGGGGGGGGGGGGCGTCACCCCCACCGACAGCCCCACATCTACCCCCGTTGTGAGCAGCCACCGCACGAAGAAGAATCACTGCCTCAATACGTCTGATCGGTTTGACTGTCTCTGTCATCCCTCACACTCCCGCTCCGCCTCTGACAACGAGACTGAAGCAGATGGAAATGTGTACCCTTGACATCACAAGACGACGTGATAGTGATGCATACTGGAGGGATCAAATGATGCGCAAGTGGTGGAAGCAAGCACGTTTAGATGGAATTTGGCGAACAATACCACTACTCACGCTCAATTGTGAATGTGCCTCAACACTGTCGCTTTGCACTATGCTAACCTGTACCCGCGCGCCAGACGGCATGTGGCTTCTCGATTTGTCTACATGGCTGTGGATATTGACTGCGATTGGCCCGATCCCGAAGCATCTAGAGACAGGGGGCAGCCAAAATAATGCAAGAGTTGAAGGCGTGCACGCCTGGGAATTTAGACGTGATCTTTCTTGAGGTTCGCTCGGAATCCCATGTTGAGGCGGCTCGGTGAGATAGGAATCACTTCGATCAAATCTCGATCATATTTGCAGTGAAGCACAGCCCTTGGATGACCCTCAACTCCGTAGGAGGGCAGGCCTCGGCCCGAAACCAGCGAAATGGATTTCGAGAACCTGTGTTGAGTACCATGTGGGCACGGAAACAGAGCAAGACAGGGAAGTGGCACGAGGCATTGGAGGGAGAGAGAGAGGAGAGACAGACTACTTATGCACCCGCTGCATCGTGCGCACAGCGACCCCGCCCACGCCCAACCCAGACCTTCTCCTCTCCAGGCCTCCAGCGTCCAGACTTCTGCACGACGCGGGCCCCCGTTGCTATTGGGGCCCAGAGCTGGAGCCCAGACGCCCAAAATTCTGAAAGCATATGCCTTACCTTTGCGGCGATGAGGGAGGGGGAGGGGGAGGAAGATGGGGAGGGAACGGAGCTAAGGACATGAAAAGATACGTGGGTCAGCCTCCACGAACTGCTCCAGGAGGGGCCGGGACAGGTTGGCCAGAGCGTGCCTGTCAGAGAAAGTCACGATCGCCAGTCGCGGGGTGCTGTCTGGGAAGCGCGGGATTGTGCTGAGCGCGGGCTGAGACAT